GAAATGATCATCTAGCCACTGGCAAAACGTACATGTTCCTCCAAAAAATGGAGGTTCAGAATTGAAACAGAGATAAAATCTCACTATATTCTTTCGAAAGTACGCCTTATTTTCCGAAGCTAAGTAAAAGCTCAGAATTTTATGCCCACATAAACTTATTTACAGCAATTAGGGCTTGTTTTTAATAAATTTTGCATTTAAAGGAATTATTTCGCTACTGACTTTAAATCTGAAAACTAGCAAATGATTGTCGCGGATGAAACTTACTTGTTTTTTCTGGTATCCTCTCCGGCAAGACATCGGAAGGAACCTCAGGAAGCACTAGTTTACTTTCTTCTTCCATTAGTTTTGCAAACTCATTTTCCACTTCTTCCATGTCATCTTCGCTGAGCTTTCCGCTAAGCATGCTTGATATTTCCTGCAAATAATGAAACGATAATTGGTACCGGAAAAGTCAAATAGCAATTACCTGTTCGGCGACTTACCTCTTGAAATTCAGCAGCTTCCTTTGTTTCATCCATAATTTTTTCGATATCCTCTATGGAAAACATCTGCAACATAACTTTAAGTAGCACGAGATTTTCAAAAAAACAAAGAAGAAAAAAACAATGCTCGCTTCTTACAACACGTTTCCCCGTACTGTCCACATTATGGCGCATACACGCATTCAAAACATCAAAATCAAAAGTTTGAAACCCTTCCATTTTCGTTCCCTGCGGAAGCCAGATCGAAAGTACTACGAGTGGCAGTATGTACAAAAGCAAGCACTTGCGAAGAAAATGGCTTGCTCTTCCAAGAAATGATAGAAGCAAGCTGGTAGAAGTTTTAATTTATTATACGCCAGTTCTTTTTTAAGGTCAACCTGGATGCTACAATCGGCTTACCACCGAAATGAATGAACAAATCGTGCGGAGAGGCCTGTTCGCCCCACTGATACGGTCCTTCCCATACTAAAAAACCCCCTTCTGGCTCACTGAGACAAAAGCTACTTAAGTTAGTCCAAAGTAGCCTAACAAAATTCTACTTATTCAGAACAGTTAGCCGAAAATTCCCAGCAGAGAAGTTATCAGTACTCAAAAGAACGTTCACAGCGCAAAACTGCGTACCTTATTCATCTGCTTCAGTGTTTCATTGCCTCGCCTCAGTTCTTCCACAACCCTCTGCACAATCTCAGAAAACTCTAGTTCATTTACCTGAAAAAAGAAAATAAACTGAAAAACTCACAAAAACATATGCATACAAACATGTGAAATTATACACACACGTATAATACATTAAATTATATTATTATTAAAATTAAAGTATAAAATTATAAGTTTATGCACGTGGAA